ACCTAACAGTGTTCATATAAGGTTTGAATTAATTTCTACCGGTAAAGCTTCTATAACAGTGTCTTCTATGTAGTTTTGATATTAGGGAAGAGATTGCATCCTGTCACCAACAACAAAAAAGAAGCCCAGTTTTATCTTTAAGATTCCTAAATTATGTTTTGACATAACTCCCTCCCCATATTTTATCCTTTAAAACACATTCTTTTTTTTTTTTTTTGGCGGGTTTGTGGGGGTTCAGCATGACCTGGGATTATAAGCCTGATTCATGGACGGACTTGAAGAGGAATTTTCATCAGATTCCCAAAGAGTTCTTATAAAACCCCAGACAGGCAATTAAGTAGGACTACTCTACAAAGAGCATTAAGAAGTTGCTCTTTGAAAGATCTTGATGCTGTAACAAATTTCATCATACATTTAAAAGGATGTTCTGGCTATAAAATTACAATATGGTGAGTCACAGTGAGTGGACATGTTGCAAGTTATTTGCTACAATTAATAATAATGTATCCTGGTTTTCAAAATATTAACATTTTATTAAATTGTATCCTGACTAGTGTGGCTCCATGGGAATAAGAAAACTTAGTAGTTTTCTGTTGTAGCATAACAAATGATCACAAACTTAGCAGCTTAAAACCGCATTCATTTATTGTCTCACATTCTGTAGCTCAGATGTCCAGGTAGAGCTCAGCTGGGCTCTCTGCTCCCCTCTCATAGGACCCAGCCAGAGGCCCCGCTCCGGGTCTCACCTGAGGCTGGAGGTTCTCTTCCAGGGCGTGGGCAGCTCATTCGGATTAGTGGCAGCCTTCACTTTCTTGCAGTTGTGGAAATGCTGGCAGCTTGTTTTCTTCGAGCCCCAGGCCAGCAGGAGAGAGTCTAGTTTCCCTTAAGGGCCGTCTCCCAAAGTCAGGCCCACATAGGATGATCTCCTTTATGATCAACTCAGAGCCAACTCACCAGGGACCCTAATTCCACCTTGCAGAGTCCCTTTTGCCATGTAATGTAAAACAGTCATGTGAGGCAGTGTCCCATCATATTCACCAGTCCCGCCCATACCCAAGGGGAGGGTGTTAGACGGCCTGAGAACCAGGGGGTGGAAATCTCGGCAGCCATTGGGGATTTCTGTCTGCCCCATAAATAATACTGAGTACCTACCAAAGTGCCTAGCACTGACTAATTCCAACCTTTGAGTAAAGGTTGTATAGTATCCACCAGCTTTACCTGTCGGGAAACTAGAGCTCGGGGAAGTAAAGCGATTTGTAGACTGGGTAGTAGAGGGTGTGATCAGGACGCCAACCTAAATCTGCCGGCCTCCAAAGCCCCACCTCTCTCCAGTGTGCCACCCTGTCTCATCGGTCCTGTCACTTCTGCCTCCGTTCCCATTTATTCACTTTTTCCCAACACCCCCGTCATGACTGTAGGCCATCACCCTTCCCTGGCACCACCACAGCAACCCCAGCGGGTCTCCCAGGCCTTGTTCTCGCTCTTCTCGAGCCTCTGTGGTCCCGAAGTGCATTCCGGCCATGCCGCTTCCTGCTTCACACGCCCGAATGGAACACGCGAACCGCTTCTTTTGGGTGGAGTTCATGCCCTAACACAAGTTACAGAGCATCAGTCTGGGGGCTCTGCTCGTAGCTCTGACAGCTTCCTCTCTCACCCCTCTGCGTGATGAGCAGTGCCACGTGGTGCTCCCTCTCCAGAACACTCCCGACCAGGCTTCGGCTGGCTGATTCCACCCGGCTTTCTGGTCTGGATTAAGTGTCCCTTCCTCCAGAGGCTTTCTTTGACCCCCCGATTAGGTGAGGTGCTCCTATTACATGTTCCTGTAGCATCCAGTACTTCCCCTATAACACACCACATTTTATTATCATGGCTTATTTATCTGTGTGTCCGACTCTCGGCTGCATTCCCAGTGTCTGGCAGGTAGTGGATACTCCAATAAATATTATTAATAAGTGGATGGCAGAGTACTTTGATAGGTTACTTTTTTGTGTTACCTTTCAAACCCTATTTAGTTTCTGCTGTTTTCCTTCTTTGCCATTTAAATACTTTTAATACCACACATCGGAAGAGCTTTCTACTTCTTGTATTTTATTCAGGATCAAATGGTGAGTATAAGGTAAAGCTGGGGAAAGACAGTGGGCCTTTAAACTCTAAATTTCCACTATGCGTTTTCCACTATTTTGTGCGGCTTCACTGCCTTAGAATAAGATCTGGGCTTTGAGCTCATCCTCTTAACTACTCACTAGACCCAGTACAGGTAAATGCTAGTAACTACTGGTTTATTTTCTACATAATTTAATACAGGTCCTTATAACAGATCCTTTCTTCAGCCTGTGGATTTGGATCTAATATACAGGATCTAGCTCAAATAACACCCCTTCTTTATTACAAAATTTTCTATTGCAAAATCATAAGTATATATTTCTGTAACATAACAATATCACGCTTGAGCACACCATATGGCATTTTGGATGAAATGTTCAAATTAAAACTATAAATTATTGCACCCATATTATTACCCTACCAGCCACACTCAAGCAGGCCTTACTGCTGCCGGACCCTGTATTAGTCAGGATTTTTGTAAAGTTTTAATTTTATGTTATAGCTATAGAAAGCCTTGTGGAATAGGGAGCAATAAATCTTTCACAGTATTATATTGCATTTGAGAAAATTATTAAAACTTCTTGCAAATTTAATAATATGACCAAATAAGGTATGAACTCTCTTAGGCACATATTCTTTCTATTGGTCTCAATGTTTATAGTGAGATTGATTGTAAAACTGAGAAAGATTTGGCTGTGTATAGATTTCCACAAACTACTCTTTCATCCTGTACTCCAGTAAACGTCAGACCTGCGGGTAAGCTGATTCAGAGATTAGTTTAAAATTTTCGAAGCTGGATTTGTAACACACGTGCCACGATTCTTGTGTCCAGAGGAGCGCGGCTGCAGTCAGAGCACCTGCTTTGAAAGTGGTCAGGAACGTTTCCATTTCTCAGAAGGGCTTTGGGTTTTCTTTTTAATTTTTAAACTGCAGTCGACGTGCAATACTAGTTTCAGGTGTCCCGCATAGTGGTTGGACATTCATGTAACTTACAGAGTGTCCCCCGATAAGTCCGTGACCCACCTGGCGCCACACACGTACGGCGCTGCTGTGTTCCTTACGCTGTGCCTCAGCCCCTGGCTGCTTCTGTAGCAAGCAGCTTGTACTTCTGAATCCCCTTCCCCTTTCACCTGTCCTCCAACCTCCCTGCCGCCCCCCATTGGTCATCCATCAAAAAGCAGAATTCCTGTGGTGGGGGGAAATGGAGACAGCTGCACTTGGAAATGACAACAACCAATTTAAAAAAAGGTTAAAAAAATCAGAATTCCTTTTGGAATGAAACTCAGAGCTGTCAGCTTTTTTATTACCATCAGTCTCTGCTAGTCTTTGGCCTTTGAGGGCAGTTCTTTTATGAAAACAACATTAAGAACTAAGGTGAACAAAGTGTGCACTCAGACTTGGTTTAAAACAATATGCAGCCCTGGCTGGTGTGGCTCAGTGGACTGAGCACCGGCCTCTGAACCAAAGGGTCGACGGTTCAATTCCTGGTTGGGGCACATGCTTGCATTGCAAGCAGGGTCCCCGGTAGGGGTGGTGCATGAGAGGCAGCCACACATTGATGTTCTTCTCCCTCTCTTTCTACCTCCTCTCCCCCTGTCTAAAAATAAATAAAAATCTTTGGGGGAAAAAACAAACTATGCAACTCTGAAGTCAAGAGACGGGACTGTGGTGTTTGCTGGTCATGAAGTCTGACACTTAAGGCAAACAAGTTCCAGCAGCTTTTAAAGCACCAGGCACTCGTATCATGATAATTGCAGGACCAGAAAGGGCTGTCTTTGGGGAGATGGAGGACAGATCGTCACATCCCGGTGCTTACGGATAAGTTTTTAAAGGAAAAGTTTGCAATTTGCAGTTTATCAGATGAAGATTGCAAAGAGGTGGTCTTTCATTTTTAAGCAGTAACTTCTTCTGTAAGGAAGCAACATATTTTCCTTCTTTGGCCTGTAATGCATAGCCCAGGCTACCTAGGTTGTAGTCATTCTGCTTTTATCACGCAGCTTAGTTGTAGGATCCAAGTAAGTCACTGTTTTCCGAGGTTCCTTTTTCTCGTCCTCAAATGAACAGTCTGGACATGATAGATGCTATCTAATGTATGTTTTCAGGTAGGAAAACTTAACTTTTTCCCTCAGTCTATGGATAGTTGTAAAATGGGATGCATAATAATATATCTTTCATTTTAAATATCCATCACTGAACTGGCTGTTTCTCAAAAATCAGGCTTTGCTCTTGGAATTTTCATAATACGGTGAAGAACAAAGATGCTTCAAGCAGTAGAAAAGTTTGTTGAAGCAAAAGAAATTAATCTTATATTAACTACTGAAGAATTGCCGTTGGTCAGTTTATTTTTCCTCACCTCGGACTGTAAGAATGTGAGCGATCAAATAATGACAAATCACAAGTGACAGTGAGGGCAGGATCGGGAAAATTATAAAATTAGAAATCAAATGCACAGGAACCAAAAGAATACAGATTTGGCTCCCGGCTTTCTAAGTTTAAAGAGAAATCGTGTGGTTGTTATTTCACAGATGAGAAAAGCGACATCCCAGGAGAGTGAGTTTGCTAGCACTTGGTTCTGAGAGAATACGTCACATGGGGCTGTGTGTAGGGCGGGCAGGGCTTTGCACGTCACTGCTGCTCGGCTGCAACAGTCCGGGTCATCTGCAAATAAGTCGGTGTGTGTTCGTTGCCTTCTAAAGTCAAACTGACAGTCACGCTGAGTAACAAGCAACACGGACTAACTTAATGACCCCGATCGGGGAAGCTGGTGAGTAGTGTAGAACGCTCTCCTTGATGAACAGGTGTATCTCTTTCCTGTTTTGTAACTGTAGGTAGATTCGGGGTTAGTCCATTTGTGTTCTAATCAAGCCTTGCCCTGTTCTGTTCTTATGCGGCACTAGCCAAAAAAGAAGAACATGTCGGCCTACCAGGTGTTCTGTAAAGAGTATCGAGTGACCATTGTGGCTGACCACCCAGGCATAGGTAAGCACATTTCTCATCTTCAGTGTTTTTGCTTCCTCTTGTGCCTCTGAAGCGGTGCAGTTAGATTTTGTCTTAGTTTATCCCAGCCGTAAAAGAGATACGCTTTTTATTTGTAGCTCTTAAACTGAAAAAATGGGAAACTGAGTACAATTAAATGGTGTGAAGCCCAGTACATAACTATGCAGTCATTTCCAAGGCTCTGCAGTTGGCCTGTTTCCTAAAGTGCCCCGGGCGTGTGGTGACGGGACGACTTTCTGTTCCCGTGTGTCTCTGTCCAAAGTTGGCGCTGTGAGAAGGGCGCCGCGGCACAGACCCAGGACGGGCCGGGGCCTCTGCAGACCTCGTTCGCCTGAGACGTAAACTAGCTTCCCGAGGCTCTCATCAAGGTCTTGTGAAGCACACGTGAAGTACCCCGAAAGATAGAAACATGCCGTATAAGTCCATGTGTCTCATGTAAAAAAATTTTTAGTTAACGTCAATATTGAATACATTGTTATGTGAAATGTTAGTTTCCATTTTTACTGAAATGTGAATTCACATTTACAAATGCTGAGATAGTTAAAGAACTTAAAATGAGGCTTACATCATATTAAGCACTGTCTTGCTACAGTTCATCGTATCTAGATTCTAGGGAAAATAAATGACACTTGAAGTTGGGGGTGAGAAAACCAGAACTCACTACATAAGGCCTGACCCTGTCTCGCAAGTGGGAGGGCAGCTCTCCCACCTGGGGCGGCTGTTCAGCCGCTTCGCGGGGACCGTCTTCGGTGCAGAGCTCTCGGACATTCAGCAGAAATCTACCGTCCTTTATCAAATCTGCATCACACGTTTTCTCTAACCTAAGTTGCTAAGCCCTGTATTGTGGCATCAAATTAAAGACACCAGAAAGATACTTGATGAATAAATTCCTAGACAGTAGACGTGTGAGGACTTGAGCCTCCCTCACGGCCACCAAATTGACCCCTTCCTTGTGGGAGAGAACCCAGAAAGTTGGTGGGGTTTGGTCTGGTTTCCTGAAAGAATCTTGTGATTTTCAAAACCTTTTTCCAGTGTTTGCTCTCATCAGTCTTCTGTTTGTTTGTTTGTTTGTTTGTTTGTTTGTTTGTTTTTTATAATTAAACTTTATTTTATTGAGTTTTTTACTCTTTTGTGCCAGATTTTGGGGAACTTAGTAAGAAACTAGCAGAGGTGTGGAAGCAATTGCCAGAAAAGGACAAACTGGTAAGTACACTTTCCTACAAACACATTTTTTGATTGCTTTATGCCTTCCGAAATGCAATTCTCCTGTAGCCCGCCCAGCCAAAGAGTACTGAAACAGTGGGAAAAAATGGCAGATGAGTGAAAAATGGTTTTGTACAGGCATTAACACTAGTTGGTGCCCATTTACTGTAGCTGAGGATCAGCTGAAGGAAGGCTGTCTTTTCTAACCTCTTCTAATTTATTTTGCAACAGCTTTACATTTGAGCCAAAAGATGATCTAATGCGGGTACTGATTGAAATTATAAAAGTCCCTTTACCACGAACACCTACAAGTCAGCCATGGCCTTAGAAGTGAGGACAGCCATTCACTTAATAGTCACTGCAAGTAATAAAAACACAGGACTGTTTACGAGGTGACCAGGTTCTAGGCCATCATCCTCATCTGCCACTGCAGACTAAGGTGCCCTGCGGGGAAGACGCTGACGACGCCGCGGTCCATAGTGGGTTCGAGTCATAGTCGCTTTCCAGTCGGGTGGTACCGAGGTGGCGTGGGAGTTAGAATTACCGTCTCGCTTTAAGGTGTAGCGCATCTGGGTGAAGCGACTGAAACACTCTTCACCCAGGTAGTTTATCTTTAGTTTCCATTTTCCATGTCAGTGTCATCCTGCTATTGGCATCGCCAGCCAGGAGGTTAGAAAAAATATTCAGACCACATGGACATTACTCTGAGCCAGACGTTTATTCCAGGACTTTACAGTTCAACCTTAGATCTAAAAATTGCCGCTGAGGTCTGCCTTTAGCACTGAGGAATGTGTGTAGCCCCTACTGAGGTCTGGCTGCAGCCCCATCTGAAGCCTGCTCAGCGGCTCTCAGCTCGAAAGTCAGCGTTAACCCTCCGTCTGCCCCCAGTGCTCTTCCCTTTCTTTTCTTCATTCTACTCCTCCATGACTGCTTTCCCTTTCACTTTTTTTCCTTTGTAATTTATTTTATTTTGCTCTGATCTGATTGCAGATTTGGAAGCAAAAAGCTCAGTATCTGCAACACAAACAGAACAAAGCAGAAGCTACGACTGTGAAAAGAAAAGCATCCAGCTCAGAAGGTTCCATGAAAGTAAAAGGTAGTGGCCTTCTCCCGCTCCTGCTCTCTTTCCCTGGAGCACTGTAGGTTTGGCTTCCTAACTGCGAAATTGGGAGCGCAGCCTGTGTTAGCAGCAGATCTTGATACCCAGGCATTACTACTGAACATCGTAGGCTGAAAAAGGCATTTAGGAAATGTAATCAGAAGTCAGCAAACTTTTTCCTTAGAGACCCTGGCTGGTGTGGCTCAGTTAGTTGGAACATCATCCCATAAACTAAAAGATTACTGGTTCAATCCCCAGTCAGGGCACATGCCTGGCGTTGCAGGCCAGGTCCCCATCAGGGCACCTGCGAGAGGCAACTGATCAATGTTTCTCTCCCTGTCTCTCTCCATCTCCTCCCCTCGCTCTAAAATCAGTAAACATGTCCTTGGGTGAAGGTTTTTTTTTTTTAATATTTTTTTTTTCATTAAAGGACCAAAGAGTAAATATTTGAGGCTTTGCAGACCTATGTGCATATTCTGCCACATATTCTTTGTATTTTCTGCAATGATTTCAAAATGTAAAATTATTCTTACCTCACAGGTCATACAAAAACAGGTCATGGGCTAGATTTGTCCCATAGTCCGTAGTATTGCTAATGCCTGGCATAACTCATAAACAGAAAAAATCAGGAAGGATATTTTTGTGGTGTTCATGGCCAGAGCAAGTTTGATCTCTGTTCTCAGCTTCTTCTGCAGGAGTACTGTCACCCCAAAAGAAGTCCCCACCCACCACCATGCTATTACCAGCCTCGCCAGCCAAAGCCCCCGAGACAGAGCCCATTGATGTTGCTGCTCATCTACAGCTGCTGGGAGAGTCCCTCAGCCTCATCGGACACCGCCTGCAGGAAACTGAGGTGAGCACTGCTGTTGGCAGCATGACTCCGGTGTCTGGTGGAACGTGAATCCATTCACTCATTCCACGCATGTGCATTCAGCGGCTCCTCTGTGCTGGGTAATGCCAGGGGTTCTAGATGTGGTGATAAGCAAGATACATCGTAAGAGAAACACCTAGAGAGTTGAATTCAAAGTTCACACTAATGCCATCCTATTGAAACAACAGCACAAAAAGAAATTAGAATACCCTATAATATTTTCCCCAGCTTTATTAAATATGATTGATATATAACCCTTTAAACTTATTTTTTTTAATGCAATGGAAAAACCAAGTACAAATCCCATGGACGTTTTGATACTTGTACTTCTAAGACATTTTGGGTTTTCCTGCACATTTCCAGCAAGATTTTGAGCAGACAACTTAGAATGTATAGAGGATTAAGAGTTACTCTACTTTTGTGCAAATTGGTAGCAAATAGGGAAGTTGAGGTTCTCAAGCTCTTCATACTCTGCTCTGTACTTGAATTACACAGTGCAGTGTGCCCTGGGGTGATCTTTGTCCTTTTAAGCTGCAAAGTCACTTAACCTGCCAAGCTGTCATGTTCCATTTCTATTACCATATTTCATTTGTAATTGTATTGCCCCCTTGGCTAACTCAGCAGCATAGTATTTCAATTTTCCACTGGGTTCTAATAGGACATTTCAGTAAAGAAATCAGTCTAAACTACCAAAGCCATTTTAAGCTGAAAACCAGTGTAGGAATATAAGACCATTTATTTGCTTCTATGTAAAAGTCGAATTATTAGTCAACAAATGAAATGCCAGTGGCCACAAGAGATGAAGTTGTATGTAAGTAAGTTCTTTAGGTAGTTTCAGAAATTGAGCAGTTATAACAATAGTCTAGTCTCAATACATAAGAACAACTAGAGTACTGTCATGTAGGCTGATGTTTAAATGGATACAGATATTTCCAGAATAAAATATTCTGAAGTCCTTAGTCATTTTTCATATTTATATATTCTTACATTTCCTAAAAAGTTAGGATTTAAAATTATTTGTTTTATGCACCACCCATATTCCAGATTTTTCATCATAGTTCCATTTAGTTTAGCAAGTATTTATGAGTACAAGGCATTATTCCAAAGCCTCGAGGCAACAGAAAATCTGAATAGCTTCCTTGTTATTTGCTGTCATCAGAAAATGCAGTCTGGTTACAAAGGGAGAATAGTCAGCAAATTAAAAGAAGCCAGCTTCTTGGAGCAGTTGCTGTGAGGTCCATATACAAGGTAACCAAAAAAGGGAATTTTGCAGAATCTCTAGTCTTCTTTGTTTATACGTCTTATTAAGGTGTAATTCACATATCATAAAATGCAGTTATTTAAATGTAGGATTTAGTGGGTTTTAGTATATTCACCGAATTGTGAATTCCAGAACATCTTCATTTTCCCCAAAAGAAACCCCACATGCGTTAGCAGTCATTGCCCCTTTCCCCTCTGCTCCTCTTTTTCCAAGACTTTAGCATTTGCATGTATCCTCACAATTTTGCAATTTTTGTGTACCACTTAAACTATTACTTACTTTATATGTTTATGAAAATAAATTCATTCATGTTTTCACAATGAAATCCTAAATATCGTGAGTGTGATATTGTTTTTTTCCCTAATGTACATCAAAATGGATGTCTTTCAAAATAATTCATGTTCACTTATATGCCATCTGCAGTTACATACTGCACTTGTCAAACAGCAATTTTACACACTTTGCTCACTTAAAAATCGAGTACCTGAGCCTAATGAAATGTGACACAGTGACAGCTGGGGCAGAGCAGTGATGGAGGACAAACGAGTTAGGGGGTTGGAGAGGTGACGTACTGGGAGGCGCTCTTTGCCTTGGGCTGGAGTTTGTCCCTTGGAAGTGTTAGCGAGAGGCCTTGCAGACCTGGGGAGCCCTGCACGTCTGCTGCTCAGCCTTGGGGTCTTCTGCAAAATGGGTTGAAGGAGGTCCAGGAAGGAGCCCACTCCCCTGTAACCAGATCTTGTAGCTCTTTTAGGTATTGGGGTCTGCATAAGGCTTTATTTGAAAGTGGGTTTTACTGCTAAAATGATGAAAAGCTGGGCCATCCAGTGCATAGGTACAGGAAGGCTGAATAGCAAGGCTACAGCCCAAACTACAGAAGGTCTTAGTGGGCATCGTGGGGTGTCTGCACTTTGCAGCTCAGAGGCTGCAGGGGTGTCGAGGGGGAGGGATGTGATCAGAGCTCTCGTTTGGTTTTCTCTGAGAATAGCTTCTGTTCAGACTGAGTGAAAAGGGACCAGAACTGGGGAGAAGCTGTAACCATAGTCTTGTCTAGATACAACAAAGGTTTGAATTAATCCAGTAAGTGTTATTTAAGAGCTTACTGTATGTGAAACACCAGTAGTTACTGGGAGGCTGTGAAAAAGAATAGGACGTAGTTCCTGCCCTCAGGTTGCTTATTGTCTGTCAGGAGAGTCAGACATAAAATACTGGCTACAATTAACTGTAAGGCAAAAGTAACAGAGTAATATTACCAATAGCTCATCTTCTTCGAGTGGTTACTCTGCCAGCTTTGCTCCAGAGTGCTTCATATGGATCCTTTCATTAATTCACACTGCAGCCTTGTGAGGCAGAGTCTTTGATCCTCCTGTTGTATAGAAGAAAAAAGCAGCAGCAGAAACTTAGAGAGGTTTAATGAACTAGATCTGAAGTTCAGCCTCTGGGGGCTGAAACAGAGGCTGGAATTTGTGGCTCAAGGTCCCTGCTCTCAACCCCTCCCCGTAGTGCTACCCCTGGCAGTGGGAGGAAGGAGACACCAGAAGGGGGTGAGAGCAAGGCCTGGAGACTAGGTGGGGGTAGGAGTGGTGGTGACTTCAGTAGAAAGGAGGGGTAGTTCTCATTACAGCATGTCAAGATTGAGAAATATCCAAATGGGAGACCTAACAGGCAGCCAGAAGTGCCATCCCGAAGATGAAGGTGTTGGTTAATAGTAAAAATTACTGATACTTTTGAGCACGTACCATGTTCCAGGCACAGGTACCTCCTACCTATTATCTCACTTCATCCCCCCTGGGCTACAGATGCCGTGAGTGGTCTAGTCTGCAGGGGCAGCAGAGTGAGCAGCTCACCCCAGCACAGAGTTGGTGACGAACTAGCCCACCCCCGGCCCCAGCAGTCCTGACACAGAGCTCATTCTCTGCAGGACTCTGCTGTGCGGCCTCCCGAAGTGACCGAGGCTCACAGCACTTCCTGGTGAAGCGACTTCTTACCTCTTTGAATCACAGACATATAGACAGTGTGAATTGTATAAGATGTTAAAATTTGAAAGGAACCACATTTTCTACTTTTTAAAAAATTTTATTGATTATGCCATTACATTTGTTCTATTCCCCCCTCCGTTCCCCTCCACCCTGCACACCCCTTCCCCACCATTCCCCCCCTTTAGTTCATGAACACGTGTCTCAAGTTCATTAGATTCTGTATTTCCCCTACTATTCTTACCCTCTCCCTATCTATTTTCTATCTACCGTCTATGCTACTTATTTTCTGTACCTTCTCCCCCCTTCTCCTCCCACTCCCCTGTTGCTAACCCTCCTTGAGATCTTTATTTCTGTGGTTCACTCCTGATCTAGCTGTCCTTAGTTTGCTTTTGTTTTAGGTGTGGTTGTAGATAACTGTGAGTTTGCTGTCCTTTCACTGTTCATCTTTTTTATCTTCTTTTTCTTAGGTAAGTCCCTTTAACATTTCATATAATAAGGGCTTGGTGATGATGAACTCCTTGAATTTGCTCTTATCTGAGAAGCACTTTATCTGTCCTTCCATTCTAAATGAAAGTTTTGCTGGATAGAGCAATCTTGGTTGTAGGTCTTTGGTTTTCATGATTTGGAATACTTCTTTCCAGCCCCTTCTTGCCTATAAGGTTTCTTTTGAGAAATCCGCTGACAGTCTGATGGGAACTCCTTTGTAGATGACAGTCCCCTTAGCTCTTGCTGCTTCTAGGATTCTCTCCTTCATTTTAATCTTGGCTAATATAATTATGGTGTGCCTTGGTGTGTTCCTTCTTGGGTCCAACTTCTTTGGGACTCTCTGAGCTTCCTGGATTTCCTGGAAGTCTATTTCCTTTGCTAGAATGGGGAAGTTCTCTTTTATTATTTGTTCCAATAAGGTTTCCACTCGTGACTGTTCCTCTTTCCCTTCTGGTACCCCTATAATTCAGAGTGTTGGAGTGTTTAAAGATGTCCTAGAGGTTCTTAAGCCTCTCCTCATTTTTTTGAATTCTTGTTTCTTCATCCTTTTCTGTTTGGTCATTTTTTTCCTCTTTCCAGTCCACTCCCTTGATTTGAGTCCCAGTTTCCTTTCCATTACTATTGGTTTCCTGTGCATTACCATTCATTTCAATTAGTTTAGCCTTCATATGTTCCTCTAATTTGTGACTAAAATCAACCAGTTCTGTGAGCATCCTGATCACCAGTGTTTTGAACTGTGCATCTGAAAGTTTGGCTATTTCTTCATCGCTTAGATTTATTGGCTCTGGGGCTCTGAGTTGTTCTTGAGCCATGTTTTGATCTGTTTGTGCCTATTACATATGAAGGAGAGGCGCCTTAGGCGCCTTAGGGCGGGGCTGCCCAGGTCGCTGGTTTGTGACGCTGTATGTGGGGGCAAGGTCAGAGAGGGAGCAATGGCATTCCTCTCCGCTCGCCTGGTCCATCTCACTGCTCGCCCCCCACCTGTTTATCTGAGCGCAAATGTGCGAGCCTGCCGCCTTGCACCGCATGGTCTCAATGCTGGCCTCTTCACTGGTTTATCTGCGTGCAAATGCACGACCGACCACAGCCAGCCGCGCCTCTTCCGAGTCTGCCCGTAGCTAGCCCGCACCTGGGATCTGTGCCCTCGGCTGCCTGTGCACCTCCCAGGTCGGGGAATCTTTTTTGCCCGACCCGCTCCGCTGCTGGCTTCACCCCTCTCACTGGTTTAGCTGAGCATTTTGTTGTTTTCGGACTCCCTATTGTCGATTTTCTGTGTTGTTTGGTTGCGTTTATTGTTGTTAAAACTGTTGTTTTCAGATTTGGTCGTGTGAGGACACAAAGTGTTTCCACCTACACCTCCATCTTGGCAGAAGTCCATTTTCTACTTTTCAAGAATGAACAGAGCAACTTAGAAAAGTGATGCCATCAGTGCATGATACCACTTCTTGCCACATACATGGAGAAGTATGTGCAGTTTACATTAAATGTTAATGTGTGAGGCTGTAGCAGTCCCACAGTTGTCGCGTTTGTGCTGTATTTGAGGCCTTCGTAAGAAAACTACTTTTGCATACCTGGTCTCCAGAAACCTTCCCTGCGGCTGTCCCGAGTAGGCAAGGCATTGTTACTATTCCTAAGGGTAGGTGGTGTTCTACTTTTCATGACTAACCCAAGGTCACAGAGGGTGAGATGTGTAAGAAGTGTAGAAAAGAAACCTGGGACTGATGTAAAAGTTTTCTTTTTAAACAACCTACAGAGTTACCTTCCATTTCTGCTGCAAGTTTCCTAGAACTGCTTCAGACTCAGAATGTGAGGAAGTCAACCACGCGCGAAGGGAACATCGGGCGTGGGTTTCCAGTTACAACCGACTCCTTCTAACGCTCTCCCTTTCAGGGTATGGTGGCTGTGTCCGGCAGTTTGTCAGTGCTTCTGGATTCCATTATCTGTGCCCTTGGCCCCTTGGCGTGTCTGACCACACAACTACCTGAGCTGAATGGCTGTCCCAAACAGGTCTTGGTGAGTTTTGCTTGTTTTCCTTGGACTTGGGGGGCCAGAGTCCTTGGGAGCCAGAGAGACCCTGTCTTAAAGTTTGTCAGGCCCTGGCTGGTGTAGCTCAGTGGATTGAGCATGGGCCTGTGAAGCAAAGGGTCCCCGGTTCAATTCCTGGTCAGGGCCCATGCCTGGGTTGTAGGCCAGGTCCCCACTAGAGGGCGCATGAGAGGCAGCCACACATTGATGTTTCCCATTCTTTCTCTTTCCCTTCCCTTCTCTCTAAAAATAAATAAATAAATTTAAAAAAAAAAAAAAAAAAGTTTGTCAGGCACAAGCTCGTAAGGCTCCCCAGCATCTAGCCCACAGGCTGCATTCATGGTTCGGCCCAGGACGAGGTACTGGCCTGCAGAATGCGTGCCGTGCTTCCAGGGAAGCTAAACAGTCCGGTGGAGAAAACGCTCTAGCCCTTGAAGTACTGCAGCGCCTGTGTTTCCTGTTTGTTCTCCTACATGTAAAGAAAGTGCAGGAGCCTTCTGCCTCTTTTTTACTGGGATCAGTGGGCGAAGTGAGCAGAAAAACTAGCACGACAGACAGCAGGGTGCCATCTGCATTCTCCCCGTGCTCTCAGACTCTGGTTTTTCTTCCTTCTCTCTCTCCTGAACAGAGAAGCATGTGCCAGGGAACAGGGTTTGGGACCCTTCCACTGAACCTTCCCCCCTTGTTTTGCAGTCAAACACACTAGACAACATTGCTTACATCATGCCTGGACTGTGACAGCAGAGAATCCTGGGGCGGGAACCTCGTCCTCCCCCGTTGCTGGTGTGTGTGTGGGACTGTTCCAGATCTCTCCGCCGGCCGCTGGGTGTAGGTTTTAAATTTTTATATACATATACATATATATATATATATAATGTACAATATATACATAGGACTGTAACTATTTTGTTTTTAATAATCTTATGAAATGACTAAGGTTTAGCCAAGAGGAAGCCTTGGCATGAATATGGGCTTAGGATTTTTTCTCCTGTGGTGGATAAATCTGCCTTAAAAATCAGTGTAACTTGGGGGCTGGGGGCTCGTTCTGGGTGCCAAGTGCATCTCTTTCTGGACAGCTCAAATGTGATTTTCTTTCCAAGCTCAGTGGTACCTCCAGACCCATCACCGACCATTTGCCTTACCTGTCTCACAGTCTGAGATGTAGTGGTTAAGATTATGGGAAGATGTCAGTTGACTAAAAGTGCAAAACCTTTCAGCTTGAAGTGTCTTAGGTGGGAGGTGATAAAATCATTCCCATCTTAGAGTTATTGCAATGGCTTAGGTGAACCTAGTGGGGGGTTCATTCCACTCCCCGCTGTACAGGCGTCCATGTCTCAAGATGTGTTGCGATCATTGGCAGCCTCAGTAGGGGCCAAATAGCTCTGCAAGCCCTGACAGTATAAACACCTTGAAGAGCGTGAAGCTGTCGATGCTGGTGGCTTATATGTTGTGAGCTGGTCCCAAGTCTTTGCCTCCAGAACAAAGAGCTGGTATCTTCCATTGGCAGTGTTCACTTAGCCACCAAGTCCTCACAGGTTCCGCTTAGTTGCTTGGTGACTGTGGAAGATGAACTTTGCCCAGCAGGATTCTTGGGTTCATCTTACTGGCTCCCCTGGTGGGCAGATACACCATGTTCTGCATTCCACACATAAGTGAATTGCAAAAAAAAAAAGTAGTTGATTCTCATGTAGGTTTATTTATGTGCGCGTGTGAATGTGCGTTTTAATTATGTGTATTTAACTCTTTAAAATCTTAGATTTTAATTTATCCTGTAAATTTCTGTATATATAATTTAATAACAAAAGCCTCCACCAGCAGCAGCATGTGGAAGATACGGATGTGTTATTTTTTCCTCCCTTCCTTCCCCTGACCTCCTCTGACAGCTCCAAATCATCTGCATTTTAAGGTTTTGTGTCTCAGAAAGGAATCATTATGTCAGGATACTAATTCTTTATAATTGAATAATGTCAAGAAAGTAAAATAAAAAGGAATGTTTCCATTCCCAGCTCCCCTTATTTCCAAAGAACCAGACTTTTGCTTCCTAGTTCCAAAGAAGAGAGTTGAACCCTTCAGAAGGGCTGGTGTTGAACAAGTGATCTTCCCTGCCAGGCACCAGCACGGAGGTGACTGCTTCTTCCCCAGCTGGATGGAGCTCCGCCGCCTGAGCGTGGGGGTGTGAGGACAGGGCAGCGCCCTGTGTAACTTTTTCCTTTCTCCCCTCCCCTGTGGTCACGGGGCTTTGTTTCTTAATGGTGTTCTGGCTGCCAACTGCCTTTCTCAACTCAGTTTTGAGTTGAGCAGTTTTGAGATTTAACTGGGAAGCAGAAGGAAGCGGGAATGTTTGGGATCGAAAATCAAGAACCAGAAGTCTTGTTTTCATTCCGTGTGTGAGAACCTGTGCCATGTCTCATCCGCACCCATGGGAGTTCCCTGTTTGACACAGGGGCCCAGAAGGCGGGATCTGCATGGACGGAAGTCAGTCCTGCCCTTGTCATTCAGGAGATCCTGCGAGGACCTGCTTTTTCTGTTTTCCTTTCAAGTCCAATCCTATTGTATTTGTATTTAAAATTTGTACACATTTGTATAATAATCCGTACCTTGTGGTATTTGGTACTATTAGAGGGAAAACCTTTGGATTCAGACCTTCTTGCAGTTTTTATATCGTTTTATTTTTTTTAAATAAATCCTAGAGGTTTGATCCAAATTCCATTACAATTGTATAAAGAAATAAAGTTTTGTACTTATATTATTAAAAAAAATCACATTTTTAATATTTATGTCCAGTCTCAGCTATCTTTTCCCTGCTGCCAACCAAAGTTGCTCTGAAAGTGTAAAACCTGTTTTCCACACTCTGCGAACCTAACTTTCTTCAACAGAAAAACCATCTGGAATAGAGATCAGGTTCTGATCTTAGCCATTTTCCTAGCATACATCTTGCTCTGTTTCTATTAACTTTGACATTGTGGAGTCCCTCCTGCTCTCTCTTTTGCAGATTACAAACCGAGTGACTCTGATAAGTATAGCTCTGTTCATTAGCAAATAAAATTGTATGAACATTACTGTGTTCTCCTAACTCAAGAAAATACCAGTCTTGTGTAAGGTTCACATCTGCCTCATGTGCTTAAACACATTTTATTTTATGCTATTCCAGTCCTGTCCTGATGTGGTGACATTGGATAAGACACAGTTTGGTACCTATAATCTGTATAGGTACCAAAGTCCCATCTGTAAAATACTATTAATGTCACTTCCCTGTCTTGAAGCCAGCAGCCAGCCACACTGACATGAATGTTTAATAATACTGTGAAAATTTAATATATGGGCATTTGACCTTTCAAGGTGTAAAAATTTTGATGCAAACATAAGTTGTTAATAGTCATAAGTAGTGAAATATTATGATTGAAAGGCTCTAATTTCTTATGGAGAGGCAGCAAGAAAGAAACCATCATATTGCTGAATGACTATTACAGAGAATAATTTGCATATTTTTTATCTCAGTTAATCCTCCCCAAAGTCTTATGAGTATTATTTCCCTTTACAAATGAGGAGGCAGATGCAGAAAATTACTTTTCCTGCCCTGGCTGGTGTGGCTCAGTGGACTCAGTGGGCCTGCAAACCAGAGGTTTGCCGTTCGATTCCCATTCAGGACACATGCCTGGGTTGCAGGCCAGTTCCCAGCAGGGGACGCACGAGAGGCAACCATACATTGATATTTCTCTCCCTCTCTCCTTCCCTTCCCCTCTAAAGATAAATAAATTTTAAAAAACTTAAATTGTTTTTAAACAATTTAAATTGTTTAAAAATTATTTAAATTGTGTAATGGTAGTACTTTAAAAAAATCTGTAACTTAAAAAAAGAAAAAGAAAATTTCTTTTCCTAAGGTCACACAGCTAGTAAATTGCAAAGCCAGAACAAGCACACCGGGACAGACAACCCCACGGGCACTTTCAGAGTTAAACTATGTGTGTAACTCATCAGAATCCTACAGTATCATCTAGAGTACTGGGCAAATGTGATTGTAGCAAAACAGAATTTTTCACTGTTCAAATGTCCTTTTCTAGCTGGATTTTATGATACAGGCTTCATTTGTCATACTATTATCTTTGAACTTCAGAGGCAAAGTGTCTTAACTTTTGCCTAACAGTACTTAAAGGGTGTAATAGATTGTATTACATTTACACAGTATATCAGTCTTAAGGGACCTAAACATTGTTACCTTCATAAAGGCATTTGATATTAATATTGCTAAAACACTTAAAAATTAAAAGGCTTTCAATATCTGCCATTTATGTTCCTATCTATTGTGCTGACAAAATTCACACATTTCCTCATCTAACTGAAAAGCTTTGCAGCCCTGACTAGTGTGGCTCAGTTGGTTGGGTGTCATCCAGCAAGGCAAAAGGTCACCAGTTCGATTCCCAGTCAGGGCACAGGCCTGGTTGCGGCCCGGTCCCCAGTTGGGGCACATGCAAGAGGCAACCAATCAATGTTTCTCTGCCTCCCTCCCTCCCCCGCTCTCTAAAAAATAAAATCATTGTTAAAAGAAAAGCTATGTAGTGTTCTGTTTACATAATTAGATATGATTCCACTCCCTTTTTGGGGGGTGGGGGGGATGAGTTCTTTCTGCTTTTTTCCTATGATGGGTAAACCTTATGGCTGATTATTCTTGGCAGTAAAGCCAAGATATTCTGCCCATAATCACTTTAAACCAGAGCGATGCAGGAAGGCAAGAACTTGTGATAAATCCCACACCAACTAATGGAAGAATCCAAAGGACGTTCATCCTAAATATACTCCATATGACCAAGCAGTATTCTTAAATGAAGAAAAATATGGGTGGTATCTGACATGAAGCTCATTTTAAATATACATCCTCCCCTTATAGTCCAAGTAGCATTATTGAAAATGATTTAAATTTTCATGTTGGTTACTGTGCTAGACAACAGTGGGGAGCAAACTAGACATAGTATCCCAGCCCTCAAGGAGCATCTAGACTAGTGGGGGTGGGGGCATTTATACAAGTCTTACGTGCATTATTAAGACACTTCCAAAGCACAGCAGTACATGACTTCCATAAAACTTTTATACTGGACCATAAAGGCATCAGCCCTTAAAGGTTGACGTCTGTGAAACAGGTTAACACACGGAAGTGATTAAGTTATAATTAGGCTATTTTCCATCATCATACATTTGTGCACAGTCTATTTACTACTAGTCTTTGAAATTTAAGGATCACAAACAACATGATCGATAAATACTAAAGCCCCAAACTACCAAAGCAGTGGTTATTGTATCCTTTGGAGGCTTTAGTAGGGAAAAAAAAACATAACCAACAGATCAGACATCTAATGTTTCCCAGAGAGAAAGGTTGACGAAGATAGAATTACAAAGCCGGGGAAGGCCTTTGAGAGCCTTAAGTCTTAACTTGGGGTCAACGGCTGTACTTCAGGGCCCCCAGAAACTCCCTAAAATTATGCTGTATCTCTGCCTTTTCTCTTCAGAAAGGCTGTGGCTTCAAATTCTCAAAAGAGCCTGAGACCTAAAAGAAATGTTGAGAGCCCTTGATCTAATTCCAGTATGCAGAGAAAATGAAAAGCTGTTTGAAACACACAGTAAATTACTGGCACCACTCGCGACATCTGTGTGCTTTCTGCTACCCTGAGCTCTAACCCGTCCCAAACTGCAACTCCTCAAACTGGCCTTCAGTCAAGGGAGCTCAAACTCCTGGCACCTGACTCCTATTTGAGATAAGTGAATCTGGGCTGCAACCAGAACTCAGGTTGCAGCTGGGAGACCTCGACCTCATATAGGAAGAGTCCTATCAGGGCAGGGCGACACCAGGCCAGAGAGGATGTCTACCCCGGGGTGGGTGTGTACTCACAGTGAGGTCTCAAGGGCTAAGACGTTTAAAAACCAGAGCTGTACTCTGAGCATGCTCTGTAACCTTACCCAACTCATCTGGTATGAGACCCGGTTTTCCAGGTGTGTTACAAGATCGTCAGGCCACGCCCCTGAACTTTTTTTTAAAACTCGAGGGCGTGGCTTAAAGAGGCCCACGCCCCCAGACTCCCTACTGCCCTAGGTAGTGCGTGACGTCCGCCGAGGGTGAGTTAGCAACCACGTCAGGGGCGGGGCCTGTGGTCAAGTTCCAGACTCCCTCAGCTCCGCCCCCACCGGCACCTCCTCGCGGACCTTCCGACACGTCACGTGACGGGTCGGCGCTGCTGGCGGTTGCTGTCAGCTGATACCACGGATTGGTGGCACTGGCAGCCGCGGCGATGGATTTTCTTCTGGGGAACCCTTTCAGCTCTCCAGTGGGACAGCGCATAGGTGAGTCCCCGGAACCTCGCCCAGCCATGCCGCAGGGCTCCGCGTCCAGCCTTAAACCCCTCCGGGCGCCGGAGGTCCCCAGTCGCGCATCTGAGAGGAGGAAGGGAGGGGGGAACGAAGCTGGCGCGTCTCTCCAGCGTCTAGCCCCGCCCAGTTCCCCGCCCCATCTTGATTGACAAAGCCAGTGATCCATTACAAAGCCTCTGCTTGTGATGGGTGCGTACGGTAACCAATAGATAAAGAGAGGGGGTGGGTACACCCGTTTGTCAGCCAGTGTGCGGCTGCTGGGGTCGCGAATCCAGGGAGAAAGTTTAGAGGGTTAAAGGGACTACGTGGTTGTGCAGTCACCTGGTTGCTCGACTGTCTTCGTCATCGCCTCCTCAACTCGGGTCGCGCCGCCTGGGCTCTTGCCCTCTCTTTCTCGACTCGGTGGGCTGTCCAGACATGGTTACCTGAGAAGGGCTAGAAGTCTATTCTCCCAGGACCTAGACGAGGGCTTAGCGTCTAGGCGGCGACTTGATGGGTGGAGGGCAGTGCTTGGCAGCCCCGCCTCCCCTGGGCCCGGGCGAGACACTGGGAACCCGCTCGACGAGGCGGCCAGTCTTGGCGACCAAGGTCTGAGGACGTACCTTCACTGGCAGCCCTCACCCGCCAGCATCAGCTCAACACAGAGTCGCCGACAGTCTGAGCTGGACATGATCATAGATTAGAAACCACCCAATCATGCCTCCCTCATTCCTCAGTAGATGGAACAGCTGAGCACTTTGGCCCCAGACACTCTGAGGCTTACTCAGGGCCCAGGTCTGCTGACTCCCTTGTGCCCTGTTGACAAGAGGCTTACTAGTTCTGTGACGTTACCTCTCTGTGCCTGGATTCCCTTACCTGTAATTAGGGGGTAATAATGGTCCCAATCTCCATGAGGTTGTTGTGACGAGTCAACTCGTTAATAAATGTAAAGTAGTTACAACAGTGCCTGGCACGTTGCCAATGCCATATAAAAGAAAGAGGTAATATTTATTGTTATTGTTACTGAGATGCCACAAGTAAGGCTCGGAGTCCCTGCAAGTGGCTGGGACTCACGGGTCCTTACTCCCGCGCGCACCGTGGGAGGGCCGTGGACCACAGGGCCCAAACAGCTAACCCTGATCCAGGAATAGCCTGGCTGTGCCTCCTTGCCTCAGGAAACCGCAGGCTGTTGAGTGAAATTCTCTCTCCACCTTTTTGATGGGTTTTAGCCAGAAATCCAGACTGGGAAAATTCGGTCTTATAGACAAGACCTTCTTTCCATGCTTACTGTTTTGAAAGCCAAACCTAACTTAATTCTGTCGACCAGCTGTGTTGTAATCACCACCGTGGCTGTTAGGGGCTCTTCTGAAGTTTTGTAATCAGATCTGTCCAAAAGGGGTGTGGCAGTAGGATTTACACACCAGGAAGCTCCTGGAC